ATCGGGACCTGGAACTCCCAAGGCTGACTAGGCGCACAGATCGAGTCTCTCCCCACCAGGACGAGCGACGAGCAACCTCTGCAGAACATCCTCAGCATTTCCACCGCCGGCAGGAACCGATACCTTCTCCACTTCAACTCACACCACTCGCTGATTCAATGGACGGCCGGCATCCGCCTCGCCATGTTCGAGCACTCGACGCTGCAGGAGGCTTACACGGGTGCCCTCATCGCTGGCAAAGGCAAGACGCTCAACAACATCAACATTGTCATGGAACGATCCAAATTCAAGACGGAGGAATGGGTGCGAGTTCGTTTTGGCGCAGGCGTGCCGTGGAGGCGTTGCTGGTGCGTCATCTCGCCGCCAGACGAGAAGGAGTACCAAAAGGCACAGAAGGAGATGAAGAAAAAGTCGCCCTACGAGCGTTCCGGACCGCCCATTCTCAAGGGAGACATCAAGTTCTATGACACCAAGGTCGAGGGTAAAAAGCAGAAGAAGGCTAAGCCGATTGCCTCCATCTCCGATTCGTACTCCGCCTACGCCATCTATCCCCAGGCCAAGTCGCTCATTGATGCCTCGACACTTCTCAAGATTGAAGGCAACATTACAATTCACTCGGACCCGCCTTCGTCGACCGAAGGCTTCGTCTTCATCATGCCTGAGGTGCATCCCATGGTCAGTGGCTTCGAGATGCTGCTTCGCTTCCTGTTCCCTACGTGGGACACGTTCGCCCTCTATGGTCGTCCAGGCAGGCTGGTTGCTAGCGTGCTAGACCCCAGATCGCTCATGTTCGCCATGCCAAAGCACCGTCGATACGGCTATCTCGAGATCCTTGACGTCACTGGCCTTATTCTTAAGGACGGCAGCTCTGGATGGTCCGAGAGCCAGTGGCGCAAGCAGCTCAAGGAACTCACCGGAACACGCATGAACACGATTGAGGACACCCCGTCCCCTCGCGGCCACAGCCGTGCTGGCAGCCGAAGAAGCAACCGCCTGAGTGGCGGCGTGCCTCAGCCGAGAGCCCGTGTCGGCTTTCGCGGATGACTCCGCCATCACGAACGTGTCTCTCGATCTCTTTCTCTGACGGGGGCTCTCGTACAGATTCCGCGCACCCCAGGTCAACGGGCCTCACACG